TGCACTTATTCATATGTTACAGATATGCTATAATTCTAAAACATTATGTAAGCACGACGTCAAAAAAAGGAATTAAGGGTTCCTGCCTGAGATGTTAGTGATAGATAAGGAGCCAGTACGTGAGGTAAGTTAAGACAGAGGAAATAACCCAAAAAGGATTAAGCGGAATATGGATATGAGAATTGGCCAACGAGTCGTTAGTAGTTGATTCAGTAATAGCCTAGTCATGACTAGACAATAGGTTACAGACAAATCAACAGATCATGCAAGATAAATATAGTGAACCCCAACATGGAGAATTCAGCCCTGCAGTAATGTCATTATAATAATTGAGATATATTCTAATAGGAGTCGGGTTAGTTAAAGGTACCGTATAAGTATTACAGGGATAAAAGAAAGTGCCACTAGAAGACAATCAAAATATCAGTTCAGGAGCAACCCTACGACATGGAGGTAAGCAACTACAGATGATTATAGGCAAGGAAGGACATCAAAAGGTCTGTAATAAGCTCACAGCTTTACAAGAGTCGAGGGTTCTCCCTAAGTACTACAACGAAAGACTAGATGAGGAAATAAGCAAGAAAGCTACAACCTAAGCACAATAACCTAAAGAGGAAATGGTCATGTAATAAAGGACAGTGGCACCTACCGTGGCTAATGAACAGGAAGTAAAATTAAAAGTAATATTTGAGATCATATGAGTTGCACGAAACCTCCGACATGCGTGGGAACTAAGATAAGATAAGTATGCACACAACAAGGGGGCAGAAAGACCAGAAAAAATAATAGCTTATGTTAAGGAAAGCTAAGAAAGAATGAAAGGAATTATTCGATCAATGATCCCGAATTACTTCCGTTATGAATGTACTTAAGAGCTCGGATAAGCCATGCAGCATATATGTTGACAATCATATAGTTGTAGAAGACTCCGATATAAGTTAAAAGAAAGAATTGAGTCCAGGTCATAGACAAACGATTAAATTGTTAGAAGATTGTATCCTGAACATTTCATAGCGTCCATGAAAGGGCTAAAGTAATACCATGAGCCGCGGATCGGAAGATGGCTTAAGCCTACATAAAGGCTGATCAGAAGGAAGAGGAAATTAAAGAGTTACATCAATTAAGTAAATCAGGAGCATGATTATAGGACCCAGAAAGTTATTAAAAATCGTGATTGAGAATATTGCAGAATTAATCTTAATATCAAAGGTACAAGAGAGATAGTACAATAACTATATTTGATAATGGCTCTACGATAAAGCCAATTAGAAGAAGTACCAAACTCATAAGAAGTCGTTACGAAGCTCCTACCGACTTGTGTATACCCCAGAGGTGCAAGTATTATAATAGAGCTTCAAGTTGTGAACGTGAATTATACCTATGTGGAAGGGAGGTCATGAAAGAGATAAAAGATACAATGTAAAATTTTAAGGTAAGAAAGGTAAAAGTGAACAACGTACGAGATACTTAAATACAGAAGGTTGTGAATAGTCCATACTGTGGATAAAAGGCTAAGAAGTGCGGAGATTCAGTATCCAGGAATAATAGCAGCGTCGTCAGTGGCATACCTTCTAGTTTATGGATTCTAAGTACCGAAAGGTCTAATTAGAGAGTAAAGGAAGAGTTAGAGACGATGCGATGTCTCACTTGATGTTCCATAAAAGCATAAGGGAATCGATCGCAAGCTAATATATTATAGAACGACAATGTTTAGAAAGACAACAGTAAGGATGAGAAGAAAGCAAGTGAAAAGGTGACGAAAATGGATAATTCCTCGAGATTAAGCCTGTGAAAACAAAGGAACTGATGGTTCCTCTAAGTTATAGAAAGCACAATATAGCCTGAATGAACTCAAAAAATCTAAGACTAGTAGTATTTGTGAGGGTGTAATTGTGATAAATAAAGGATGACGTTTGGGCCTTCGCTTGAGTAATGATTTGAGGGGAAAAAAAAGGGGGAAGAAGATTTCATGAATTGTAAGGGACTAAAATACCCATATAAGGTGAATCACATTGGGATACTAAAAAGTACAGTTATGGAAGTATAGTATCATCCCTAGGTGGATCAATCTAATTACTCCAGATGTCCCCGAGACGGGAGCCCTAACGACGGTGTTACATAAAAGATCAAGTTAGCAATGGTAGATGATGAGTCAACATTAAGGTGAATCAACAATAGATGGATAAAAGTTCAACAGTATGAGATGAGATTAGACCATCACTCTTAAGGATAAGTAACAAGAGTAACCTGGAGTTGGTTGCAGACCTCAGTAACTATAAATCGAAGTTAGAATAATGGTATAGTATGACCTACGAAGATACAGTAAAGTCATATAAATTGATAACCAGGTCTATGAAATAAGATATAGCCATCACAAGTTCTACAAAATACCGAGCAAGGAACTTCAGTACACCTATAGATGCCCAGAGAGGCATCCTATTAAGCATTGTAAATATTTACAAAGTAAGGCCTAGAGATTGTCTAAAAGCTGGAGGAAAAGGGAGAGAATAGTCGCATAGACACACTTACAGGGTCAGTATCGTAGAGGCTGCATGATAGGAGGTAGCAACAATTACGAGATTGAAAGGAATTCGATCACAAGTCATGACGTGGGAAAGAGACCTAAAAGGGGGAATGCCCTGGCCTTTGGATTTATTCAAAGAACAGTTGCCTAAATGGAAAGTAGAATATAAAAGTATTCGCAAGAGCTATGGGTTATGAGAATGATAAGTGCATCAACCAACATTCGAGGACGAATATTCCAAAGAGGGGAATAATGTTACGTCCCGCAATATTACGTCGCTATTACGTCCTGTAGTATTATATCACGATGATGTTACGCATTGCAGTGTTACATTACGATGATGTTACGATTTGTAGTATTAAATTACGACGATGTTGCACCATGTAGTATTATACGTTGAATTTGTCGTAAGGTAATTGACATCAGTCCAAGGAAAAGATTATTGAGAGATTATAAGAATTATGCTATTTCAAACAAGTGATGAGTAAATTCGTGAAGGTGAGAGGGGAAGCAAGTCAAAGAAAATGAATTGTCGTCTAAGTTTGGCATGTTGGAATAAAATACGGTCCGAACTATAATACCCAACACTTATGGACTAGTACCATGCAAGGTACCATATGACCATGGTAGTATGATGTATAAAGTATATTAAAAATAAGTAGAATATTAAGTAATTTGAGACAATTCTTAATTATGCGGGTAATTAATTAATTACCGGGTAGCGGGATATTACCTAGTTAATTAATTAATTATGGATAAGAACTAACTCCCCAACGTGGCAGCATACCCACCCCTAATAAATGACCCATAATGTCATTTGGTAATGTGACAAAGTTTGAAAAATCTTTGGTTAAAGCACTAGAAATAATCTATAAAAAATACTACAACTTAAAAGATATGTTTGGTCTTGAAAATGGATAACTCTTTTATCAATAGTGATCTTGATCCAAAGACTTGCTTAAGCTTACGAGTGAAGCTCAAGAATTTCAAGAATCACCTTATTCACTACAAGACTTCTAATTTACAAAGAACGTGAATTAGCAATTAGCATTTAGTGGATTTTGGCTATTAAGTCAATATTCTTTGCCCGAAAATTCTTTCATCGTCTCCGGTCAAAGAAGGGCAGCTGTTGACATCCAATTTTGTCTCTCCTTTCTTCTAACTAATTTTCTTGAGCTTCTAAGTTACTAATAAACTGAATAACCTATTTTTGCTACAATTGTTTTTACAATTGGTACTACTACTATCATTAGTATTAATATTAGTATTAGTATTAATGATATTATTATTATTCTTATAATTACTACTTTTACTATTATCACTGTTATTATTATTACTATTACTATCACTTTATTATTATACTACTTTAGTATTATTATTATTATTATTATTATTATTATTATTATTATTATTATTATTATTTATTATCATTATTAATGCTATTATTGCAATTAGTATTGTTACTACTTTAAATTATTTACTTAATATTATTTTATCATGTATAAATTTGTCAATTTAGGAGCCCAAGGAAATACTAGGAAGAAAGGAATATTAAGACTGTTTTAAGCCCAAAATTCGGCCATCAGCTAGCCCATGACTCAGCCAACCAAATCAGGCCCAAACGAAATCTTCCACTTTAGCCCAAACAGTAGAACCCTCTAGAACTCCTGCTAAAACGCTGTCGCTTAGTGTCTAACGATATCAGATTTTTCCTAAGGCCATCTCCAACCTTGCCCCCATCCACCATAATGAAGGAAATATTTAGGGGAATTTAGCTCCCACCCTCTCCTATTTTTGTCCCCAAAATGGGGGATGAATAGTGTTCCCTCAAATATGGGGGTACACTATTCATCTCCCCCATTACTGTTCATTACTTTTTTATTATTATTTTATTATTTAATATTTTAATTTATCTCTTTATATATACCTAATTATGTTTATGTAATGTATTTATAATATTAATATTATATCTTAACTTTGGTGTATAATTTTGATAAATTAATTTTCGTGCATTTATTATTTTTATGTAGAAGTGGCAGTAGATAAAAATCAACGATTTCAAGAATTTTTATTTCGACATAGAAAAATTAAGGACAAAGATGCTCATTTTGCACTTCGCAATGCATTAATAGATCATTTATGGGAGAAGCTAGAGGTTGAAGTTGAATATTTATCTAGTATTTCGAATGAATTTTATCGTTATGTAATATGTATTTAATTAATCTTGTATCGCAATGATTTCACTTTTATTTGAATTGTTAATCTATAATAATTGCTTATAAATTATATTATTTAAAATTTTATGGAATTGTTTTAATTATGAAAGTTATAAATTAATAAAAATAAAAAATAGAATTTATTTAATAGAAATTAAAAAATGAAATTGAAATGAAAGATAATAATATAATATAGAAGAGAGAAGAATATAAAAAAGTTTGGGAAAAAAAATGGGGAATGGTTGGAATAAATTATCCCAAAAAATAGAAAAATCCGAGACGGTAAAGGTCGGAGATGCCCACTTGTCTTCTAGACTAAAATTCCATGGAACCTCAGCCATGAACAAATTTTGTTTACTCCATTTTCGTGCAAAACGTACTTCTAACAGAGTCCGTTGCTACTCAATCTCTCCAAAAACGCTGCTCTCCCTCTCTTCTTCAACGGGTCAGTCAACAGATGAAGCCAAAAGACTTCTGAAATTTTGATTCTCCAATTCTGAAGAACTGATTTCTCAGAGCTTTGGTTTGATTTTCATAACGGCTCTTATGGTCGTTTGAATTTCAAATTCCACCAAGAAATTAAGCGCTAGATTTTTCATTATAAATAGTGGAGTTTTGAGGTCATTAAGAAAGAGAAGGTTTTTAGCCGCTGCCTTCAACCTTCGAAACCAAGCTCTGAACCGCCGCTCACCCCCTCACAGCCGCCTCCCCTTTTCTCCTAAGCTCACTGATTTTCCAACAAAATAAATAAAGCAAAGCTGTAGTTTGCTCTTCCTTTTTTCTCTGCTTTTTGTTGGTTTCAAATCCTGAACAAAGGCGATTTATTTTATACCGGCATTTGACACCGAGGTAGCGAGTTCGAGGTCGGAGTTCGATAGAGGATCAAAGACCCCAACCCCGGTTCGCTGCCCGCAAAAAGGTCAGTAATTTCTCTTCTCTTTTTTTGATTCGGCAGTTTCGAAGGTGTTTATGATTCTGTACATTTCATGAAAGTAGCTTTAGTTCCTCTTGCGTTCATCTTTTTGATTTAATGTGTCTTTTGTTGATCTCATGTTTAAGTGGCATTCTTTATGTTTAGGATTTCATTTTTTTGCTTGTATGAGCTAATCATGTCCTCAAGAAAATTTATGTGCTAGCCAACAATCATGCATATAGATTTTATTTATTTATTTTTTATTTAGACCGGGACGATTCGATGAGGTTTGTTTTGTCGCAGTTCACATGCTAGATGCCATGCCTATAAGTTCTATTAATCCATCTATATATCTACATGATGAGATTTAAGTTTGGTTTGAAATAGCTTGTAATGAAATGGATGCTGACAGATCTTTCTCAAGTATTAACATATGTTTTGCTCATTTGGGAGTGACTTTAAGGAAGTGCGAACATGTCTTTGACTATTCGTATAGAGGGTCGAGTCTCGTTAAATCACATATAAGATGTTACTAAAATAAGGGATGTTGCTTTAATGAAAAATACTGCTGCATTTGTTTCTGTTAGCAAAGTTTAGTTCCTTTGGGTTTATGGATAACTTGATATATGATTGGTTCGGTATAAGCGTATGATTTTGTCTTGTTTGATTTCCTTTTCTCGTCTGTTAGAAATCTGAATCTGCTCCCTTACAGATTAATAATTAAAATGAACTTGAAGATAAATTTATGTTGCTTGCTTACCCGTCAACTTATGACATAGATGAACTAATATATAAGTCTTCGTTAGGATACCAATTCTAAGATAATCAAGTTCTAGCTAAACGTCATATAGATTTTAAATGTGCTTTTGTATCAGTAATAGAAGGCAGGCTTATATCTTCTCTTTTCATCATTAAGCTATGTTTATGTAGTAAATTTTGTTACCATTGATTGAGGAAACTTTAAACAAGAATAGTACTTAACATAAAGAGTCTATTGGCACTTTGAAAAGAAAAAGATGTGAATTCTGTTGGTATAGAATTGCAAAGTATGATTCACGAGTTGTTACAATTTGAATAACCGTGTAGTTTCGTTTGTTTTGGTTTTCGTTTGTCCTAGTTTCTTTATGCACGTTTAAGAATCGAATTCCCCTTCTAATTCTTGTTTTGTTCTCTTTTTGTGCATATGTACTTAGGAGCAAATATGGAGTCTCTCTCCCTTACCCGAGCATGGAGTCATCGCATGGTATCCTCCATAGAGTGCACCAAATATCTAGAAAACAAGCGAAACGCTTGGAGGCCCCTATGGTGTCCTTCTATTTTTTCTGTTATCATTCATTTTATGTAACTTCTTTTTATGGTTGCTTATTTATTTGTGTGTTTGGGATTTATCTTACACTTAGCATAAGATTAACAATTAAGTCTATTTAATCATCCAAGATACTGGTCTAATTATTAATAAACCTTTTTTTTTTCATCACATAGAATAATGCATCTAGATATGAAGACTTAAAAATCAATTACTGATTGGAGTGTTTATTCTCAAACGTTCAAAAGCTAGTTAGATGATTTGACAAACATCCCTAAGGAGGAAATCAGCCTCCGCCATTTACATTACAACCAAAATTGTAGTTTCCTTACTTTAGTCCTTTAGAAAAGGGGGGTTTACAACTTGCTGCGTTTTCCAACAAATCCAAATCCAAATTGATTTCAAACTTGACTACAAATCAGAGTTTTCTTAATTGAGTTATCCCATTTGGCAACGAATTTTTACTTGATTCTATTCCTATATTCTAATCTTAAGTTGGTTCTGAGTTAATCACTTTTTAAACCATTTCAAGAATTATTTCGCATCTAGCTTATAGCCAACTGCGCTTTTAGTTTATCACTTAGTAATATATCTAACAAATAGGCTTACATTAATTAACCTAAGTTTGGCCGGTTAATCATATTAAATGGATCATATAGAGTGCTTAATACCTTCTCTATAAGATTAATTAGAACCCTTACTCATAGTCTTAAAGGTTAAGTAGGCCATAAAACAGAGTTAACTTTAAGCATTATTTAGCTAAAATTGGTGTCCTAATTCACCGTTAAAATAATTAGGTGGCGACTCTCTTTAATGAATTAAACCTTCAGAATTACCAATATGTTATACTTACTTTGACCCGTATTAAAATAGGGTATAACAATAAGTTATATACCGATCATACTGTGGCAGAGCGCCTATGAGCGAGCCCAGTTGGTCGAGATACAGAGCCAAGTATGGTCGAGCACCTATGAGCGAGCCTACTATGGCAGAGCAATTATATATATATATATATATATACNTTCATGCATGCAGGTTCAGACAGACAGACAGGTAGGCCTCCTCATTAAGTGTTGCCCGAGTTCAGCTTGATCGGTAAACTCCTTGCCTTTCGGAGTTACTGGGTCTAGAGCCTTATGTACATCTTGTATATATATGTATATATGTTATGAGTAGGTCGGGAGCGGTTCCTATCACAGTATATCCATCAGTAGAGGTTTGTAGACATATCCTGTCAGTTAGTGTAGTATGTTGGGCTTGGAGGCCATGTATGTATATTTGGTTGGTTTGTCAGCTGTAATAATTATGACGGCCTTGTCGGCCCAGTTTTATATTGACGTTTAGTCAGCATTCGCAGTTGTCTTCCAATGTGGCCGATGACCAAGGTATTACATCATATGTTCAGAGTCCCTTAGTTGCAAGTTGATACGCAAGGATAGGTGAGACACTAAGTATCGATCTCGCCCCCAAGCTCGGGGCGTGATATTTATATAACCATGTGAGACACAATAAACCAAATTTGTGCGAGGCTTTGTTCTTTGCAGGACATGTCTACTCCGGGGTCCCACTAATTTGTTTTTTCTTTTTTGTTTTACACATGTGTTCATCCTAAGGTCTCTATTGTTAGTCGTCAGTGGCGGAGCCACATGCACCCAAGAGGTGTTACCGTCACCCCTTCGTCAGAAAATTACATTGTTTAACTCGATAATTTTTTAAAAATATATATATATATATATATATATACTATATAATGATAGCCCTTGATTGCGCTATACCCAGGGGCGGATTTACAGGGAGGGGTATGGGTTCACGACTTCCCGTGAACCCATGCTCCCCTCCCTAAACTGCATATAGCACTATAATTTTTCTGATATAATACTTAGTTAGATCTGAGTGAACCCAGGTACAAGATGCTGCTTTGATCCGTTGGTGGTTGTATGTCCCTTTTATAGTCCATGTTAGGGGTTCGAATCCCCAATTTCCCTTTGTACTTTTTGTCTTTTCTTTTTCTGTTTCTGTGTCTTGTCTTCCTTTTCCTTCTTTTTCTTTTTTTGGTTTCATTTTGTTGTTCTTCTTTTATTGTTTATTTTTTCTTTATTTTATGTTTATTCTTTTCTCCCTTTTTTCTTTTCTTTTTTGGTTCATTCTAGAGTTTTAAAATTTCTAAAAAGTTAAAATTCACATCTCCTCGTTACCTCTCTTTCTATTTCAATTTTTTACGAACAACAGTCATCCTCTAACTAATTTCTTTTTATTTCTCTCATTTATATTTTCCTTCAAATTTTTCTATGATTTGTGAAATAAGTTTTCTTCAAATAACGATGCTATTATTAATCATTTTTAAAGTATAAAATTTGTTAAGAACAATTGTAAACTGGATAATATTTTCTTCTGATAATAATATTAACCATGGTTTGTTCGATAGGTTGTTGTCATAGAAAATTTTTAATGGAGTCAAGCTAGACGGTAGTATAGTGCACCCATATTCTTACAATTCTAGGTACGCCTCTGGCTATACCTTAACGACACATTTATCCGTTAAGGTATAACGTATGCAACCCATGCGTTATACCTGATTTTCAAATGTCGGTCAAAGTACAGTTATAGCGCATATACGGAATGCACTATACTTGAAGTTGAAAAGATAGGTAGGTATAGAGCATCACATATATACGCTATACCTATATTAAAAAATGGCCCGTCTTCTTCCTCACGACAGAAACCAAAAAATGCCCCCCCCCCCCATTTTTAAAGCTTAAAGCTCAATTGGAGCCCACCGAATCGTGTCCTCTCATTCTTTTAGCGAGCTAACTAACATCCGATCCAAGTCGTTATCGTGTAGTGGATCTCTTTTATTGCTCGTTTCGGTGGTCAAATATTTTATTTTTCTCAATTTAAAAAACTCTGAAAGAGGTATTTCAAATCACTTTTGTAGTAAAACTCATGTATATAAATTATCCAATTACTTGTTTTTACTGTGTTGTATGGTTTTTGTGATCGTTTTATATA